TAGCCCGTTAACTTGAATGGCGTAAATCGTATTTTACAAGTCTCCGTTGCAATCGATTAATTATGTTTTTGCATTGCATCGCATGGCATATCATATAGGTGCGATGATGGATCAACGAACCAATTGGAAGATGATTGGGAATCCAAAGATGGTGTACTGGTATTCTCTCCAGGAGATGATGCAATGGGCTTTCTATCCAGATGATGGTGGATGATCTGAAGATGCAGATACTAACTTTTAATATATATCTTACCCAGGCAAGCCCCGGTGTATAACCCCTACTTTTCTGCAGTTTAAATTATATTTGTGTATTAAGTTGTCAGGAGTTGAATGAAACCCACTTGCATATATATCTTTATCCTATGAGTCTCACTAGTATGACAGGATCGTGTAGAATGCTATGCTACAGGACTCTGATAGAAGTCGAATGATTGTCTGTCACTAGCGAGCTATAGAAAATATGTTACTATATCATTATTACTTGGGAAATATAAATGGTGGAAATAATAAATGGTGACCGGGTAGAGATATGGTTTGGGTATTGGTGGGTGTAAGAAGTTGTGTCGCCGTGGACGCGGGGCATGGCTTGGTTACACTGCTTTCCCTGTCTATGTCGATTCAAGACCGATCGTTGCATATGACTCTAGGCAGGTCACAGACTTATTATCTTGAGCACATACTTGTGTATGGGCGCTTGGAAGACTTGTTGCTCTCTTATCGCGGATTCAACTTTTTCCGGACCGACTGTTAGGGTTTCTTTTTGGTGGAGGAGGTCCTTGCACCGTACTGAGTCCGGGACTCAGAGGCGGGGGCTTGGAGTCCCAGTTTAGACGGGGACCTAGACACCCGAGACAGGAGAGTGATGGGTTGGTCTTGCTTGTGCCCGGGGTACAAGCGGGGCGTGTGTTTTCGGGGTACCCAGCTGGGGGCATTGATTCGCGAATCGCCGGACGATCCGGTACGGCTTGTCTACGGTTTAGCATCATAGTAAGAACTGAAGATGAAAGATGGAAGATGGAAAAAGGAAATCTGATTGCTTACCACCTGCTTGAAAGTAGCTCAGGTGCTTACATAGAATGGTTAGTTAATGAACCAATGCGGCTATTAATAAAAATCGAATATAAGGACGCACGCTTAGTAATGCTTACTGCAAATGCAACCCACAAGCCAGATAGCCTTGCATATCCTTGGAGTCTTTTCTTTTCTCCTGTCGGGTAAGTCTTGCTGAGTACAATTGAGTACTCAGGGTTTTATTCTCCCTGTTGCAGGTGACAGGTGGAGGCTAAAGTTGATCTTGTGTGTGGATTCCTCCTGGTGGGCTCAGCGAGGATTCCTTTACGCTGCGATCGTAGTTATTATTTATAACTCTCACCAAATGCTTTTATAAATGAAAGTTTATAATTTGTTGTCATAGTTGTTATATATCAATACTTCATCATGTCATGATTAGATATTCATTTCCGCTGAAATTCTAATCACATGTCTATATTCCGCTGTTTAATTAAATTATTCATAACTCTGATAATATGATTTCATTCCGCTGTTATAAAATAACTATTATACTCTGATGTTGTACTAAAAGTGATGTAAGAAATGGTTAAGAATGATATAAACTTTATTCTCTCATTTGTGATCCTGATGGCAAAAATGTGGATTTTCGGGTTCTCCCCTGGGGTGTGCCCGACGGAACCGAGTAATTTAGTGTTCTCCCTCGAGTGCTTAGCGTCTAATGGAAGACAAGCACTCCTGTGAGGCATTAGATTAGACGGTTCTGCCACATAAACGGATCAAGAAATAACTTTGTTTACATGATATAGTCAAGTGAATGAAGTAAGTTATAAGTGTCTCCTCGTTAATAGGCTTTCTGAATAGTTCTCGAAATTATGACAGTAAAGTTCATGCCATATTTCAAGGGGGAGAATATTAAGGTCAATTAAGAAAGATACTCTTCATTAAGAGTGAGATAAAAATTAGTTAAGATGAATGCGACCGTTGGAGGAGTACAACGGTCTCAACAATGATACCCCTAAGCAGAGAAATAGCTAAATTTTTGGACCTTTTAAAGTTTCGACGGGAAGATAGCGTAGTCAGCCTCAAAGAAGTTCAGATGGTGCTTAAAGCGCCATATGAGGTTTTAACAGACTAAACCCAAAATAAGATATTTGAAGATACACTATCTTTAGAAAAGATGGGATGATCTAAGGGAGCATGATATGTAGAGGTATATAGAGACCTAAGACTTGAAGAGAAGAGGGACTGTGTTCCCACTCCAGTCACTCAGGAGCAATAAGTTTCTCAATACCTGTTGATGTTGTATGACTAATACAACACCTGTTGTTAGCTCGACTTGAAGAGAAGAGGGACTGTGTGCCCACTCCAGTCACTCAGGAGCAATAAGTTTCTAAATATATGTTGATGTTGTATGACTAATACAACACCTGTTGTTAGCTCTTTGAAGAAGATGAATAATATAAACAAGGATCTTGTAATACAGGAGCATGTAGAATCAATTGCCTCTTGGCAATAAAGAGCAACAACAGCCCCATATGAAAGTGCCAGTGGCCGAGGCCCCATAAGGTCTCAAAGAATTAGTAAACCAGTTTTTCTGATGACTATGATGTCTATGTTAGTAAAGAAATTCAAATGAAGGGTGATCCCACCTCATTTAAAAAAGCCATGAGAAACATTTACTCGTTTAAATGGCAAGAAGCTGTGAAATTTCAAATGAATTCGATGAATACCAACGATGTTTGGGACTTCGAAGTAATTCCTATTGAAGCCAAAATAGTAGGCTGTTAATGGGTCTACAAGACAAAATATGATTACAAAGGGAATGTAGAAAGATATAAAGCACGACTTGTAGCAAATATGCTTTACGTAAAGAGAATGAATATATTACAATGAAAGTTTTCTCTCCAGTCTTATGCAAGGATTCTTTTATAATCATAATGGTGTTAATGGCACATTACGATTTAGAGTTACATTAGATGGATGTAAAGATGGCATTCCTCAATGAGGATTTATATGAAAAGTTTTACATGGCACAACCCAAATATTTTATCATGGAAGAAAAGAACGTATGGGATGCCGTCTGCAAAAATCCATTTATGGGTTAAAACAAGTCTTTAGATAGTAAGATTTAAAGTTGATGAAACGATAAGACAATTTGGGTTTTAAAGAAAATGAGAAGGACAATAGCGTTTATGCGAACATCAAGAATGAAAAATTCATTTTCCACATCCTATGAATAGATGACATTCTACTCACGAGTAGTGATGTTAATATGTCATTGGAGAAGAAAAAGTTTTGTCCTCAAGTTTCAATATGAATGATCTTGGTGAAACGTCATTGGTTCTAGAAATCGAAATTCACCGAGATAGAAGAAAAATTGGGTATTAGGACTATCGCAAAGGCATACTTATAAAAGATTTTAAAGAAATAAAATATGCATGCGAGTAAACCTACGTCTGCTCTTATAGTCAAAGGTAATAGGTTTGGGAACTTTAAGTGTTCCAGGAACCGATATGACATCGATCAAATGAATATGGTTTCATATGCTTCAGCTGTTGGAAGCTTGATGAGTGTACAAGTATAAGTAAGAACTTACCTTGACGTAGTTTACGTATCCGGAATATTTTGGTAGAAGTCCAGTCTGGATATAGATCACTGAAATAGAGTTAAGAATGTCTTGTAATTTTGCAAAGTATCATATATCTCATGCTGAGTAAGAAAGAATAAATACTCTCAAATAGTTGAGGATACAAATGTTAAGTTATAGCGAGATGTGTAGTGAAATCCACAGTAGTTGCTAACACTCGCAGTTATAGTATTATTGTGGAAAAGCTCCAAAGAAACAGTTATGGTGTCATTAGTGATGCATACCATAATATAGCTTGACATGAGGCTTAAGGAACAAGCAAAAGGAGGTTAAGGGAATTTGTACCCGGATTTAACAATGGTAGACAACAGCAATAATCATTTAAAGTAAGTTAACTCCTAAGACAACGGGTCAAGTGTGCTGCCAGACACATTGACACTAAGTTATATGCTGTAAAGGAGAAAATCCAGAATTATTTTGAAAGCATTGAGCACATAAGTACCGAGTAAGTACTTACGGATCCGCTTACCAAAGGTTAACCATCCAGTGCGTTCAGAGAGCACACAGTCGATATGGGTTTATGGGAAATCCTATGATTTCTAGATATTAAGGGCCTAGTTGAGTATCTGTTTCAAAACAGAGAGCTGCATTATAGCTGTTAAATCTAATGGTAACTGACCATGACGATGATGCACGCTCTATGCACTGATCTGTGATAGAATAGGAACCGAATAAAGTAAGTAAGTTAAGTTTAAGTATGAAATGAGATCAAAGAGAAGATTGTTAGTGTTGATCTCATCCGACTCGGCTCAACGGTCGAGTCAGGCCTTGATCCAATGCCCTGATCGGGAGCATCTAACCAAACTAAGGTTGATGGACCTCCATCGTGCAGCACTATATAGAGAGAGGTGGGGGCCAGGGCGCAGACACGAAATTCATGACAAACGCCATGATCCCCACTTACTGCTCTAACCCTACCGGTCAAGGGAGTGCTGAAGCGACAGGAAGTGCCACCACGTCGGACTCCACTGCGTCTTCTACCCCGACGTCGCCGCCACCGGATCCACCGCCGCCAGAAGACGCCACCAACTGGACCTCGACATGAACGGCTCATCCTCCTCTAAAGCCGATAGTCAACCACTCCTACATCTCCCTCTTTCAATGTCTCCCTCTCTGTATCGTGATACAGGTCGAATGTGAAACAAACAGTAACAGATTCACCGTCTTATCTACGCCTGGGCGATCCTAAGCTTATAACACTAGCCACCCCGAGCACGGCCAAAAAGGCGCGCACCACAGCAGCAGCACAGCTCAGCTCGCCTACCTACCTCCAGGGGTGTCCGTCCGGTGTGCTGCTGCGGCGCAGTCGCGGTGCGGTGTCGTGCGCCAGCAGAAGCCCAGAATGCTGCCCGCCGGGTGCGGTCTCCTCTCGTGCCTCCGCCGCGACAAGGGTGAGGCGGCGAGGCGAACCGACCCCCGCGTCGCGGACGAGCCCGCGTCGTCGTCGTCGCTCGGCAAGGGCAGCAGCGGGGCGGCCAGGCGGTTCGCGTGGGCCGAGATCGAGTCCGTCACGGCGGGCTTCTCGTCCCGCGTCATCGGCCAGGGCGGCTTCAGCACCGTGTACCTGGCCTGCCTCTCCTCCTCCCGCCTCGGCGCCGTCAAGGTGCAGCGCAGCAGCGAGCGACTCCACCGCGCCTTCCGTCAGGAGCTCGACGTGCTCCTCTCGCTCCGGCACCCGCACATCGTCCGCCTCCTCGGCTACTGCGACGAACGAGGTAACAAGACGAATGCCTGATCAGCTCCACTGGGCTAGCTACGAGAGGACGGCAGCTTAAAAGCCATAGGATAGAGGAGCTAGCTAACACAAGCTTCTTTTCTCTCTCTCTCTCTCTCCCGGCGTACGCGTGCAGAGGAAGGCGTGTTGGTGTTCGAGTACGCCCCGAACGGCGACCTCCACGAGAGGCTCCACGGCCGTTGCAAGGCGTCGCCGCTCCCGTGGGCACGGCGCATGGCGGTGGCGCTCCAGGTGGCCATGGCGCTGGAGCACCTCCACGAGAGCCGCGACCCGGCGGTGATCCACGGCGACATCAAGGCCTCCAACGTGCTGCTGGACGCCAGCCTCGACGCCAAGCTCTGCGACTTCGGCTTCGCGCACGTCGGCTTCTCGGCCGCGCTCCAGCCGCCGCCGGACAACAACGCCGCCGCGGCGCCGTCGTCCAGGGCGCCGGCGTCGGCGGCGCGCCCCGTCTCCGTCATGGGCTCCCCGGGCTACGTCGACCCGCACTTCCTCCGCTCCGGCGTCGCCACCAAGAAGAGCGACGTGTACAGCTTCGGCGTGCTGCTGCTGGAGCTCCTCACGGGGCGGGAGGCCATGTGCGCCGACACGGGGCGCCGGCTCGCCGCCGCGGTGGGTCCTACGCTACTCGGCGAAGGAGGAGGAAAAGTAGCCGACGTGGTGGACCGGAGGCTCGAGGGCCAGTACGATACCCATGAGGCGGCGACCGTGGCGGCGCTCGCGCTGCGGTGCGTCAGCGAGGGCCCCGGGATGCGGCCCTCCATGGCGGAGGTGGTCCGCGAGCTCCAGGAGAAGACCACTGCGCTGATCTCGGCCGCTGGATGCAAATCAGCCGGCAAGATGGATTCCTGACTTCCTGAGTGAGCTGTATTGTTAGCCGAAGACTGTAAATACTAGCTAGCTTTGTTTAGAGAGAGTGGAAGGTAAAGATAATTGTTCTTTTTTTTTTATCTACTTAAGTTTGTTAATGTAGTGGATTAGTAGTTGTTGAATTGGATTACGTAGAAAATTCTTCGTGATGTCAGAGTTGGTTGTAGAGGGTCTGTAGTGGCTCGTTAATCAAATCGATCTTGTCCAATTCGTTGAAGATTGATGTGATTTACTCTACGACATGTGACGTCATCTTGCACGTACGTACTTTTGAGACGGGTTTGTTGATTATACAAGTCAAGTTGATCCTCAGCAATAAGGAATTCAATAGATCTTGATCGCTATGGTCTTGTATGGAGTAGGAGTAACATGCAAGTGGGTTTCGACGAAGCAAGGCTACTGTATGCAAATGGCTTCAGTTTCAGAAACTCGTTTTTTTTCCCTTATCCGCGGTTTCAGAAGTTTTTTTTCATTTGGAGAGAACAACGCAGTTTGCGGAAAGTGGGAAGGAATAATGGAGGTCTTACGCTTGATATTCTGTCACCTTAATTACATTTCTCTGCTAAGACTGGTAGCATGGTTTAACCTGTTAAAAAATGAATTAGATGTGCACTGTGTCCTACTTTCTAAACACTACTATTTACTAGTAACACACAAGGGAACTGGACACTGGACGTACGCCAAAAAGAAAGGATTTTCAGTGCATATATAAACCATGTTTTCGCTTATAGCCGCCAAGCCATTTTTTCTTTACTGCTTAGCTAATAACTTTGCATGTGCCCTTATATAAACACGATGAACACTAACAGTAACAGAGAAAGGAATTTATTGAATGCTGCATCGTGTGCTTTTATATGCTCCACATGTGGTGTGCATCGCGTGATCTGATCTCTCATGCGTGCCGGATCATTCAGGCTTTTAAAAACGGAGTCGTGTGATCAGCGAGGCACGGAAACTGACCGAGTCACGGGAAAGAAAGAAAGAAAAACGAACGGAAATGGCGCAGCAGCCAGCAGACTTCAGACCGGTTGCTGCTGCTGCTGACACCCCAACCAACACCAACAGCCTATATATATCTAGATGAGACGACCTGGAAAACCAATTAAACAAATCGCTAATCCTCCACGGCGTTGCAGTTGCAGAGCGAGCAGCATGTACGTACGGCCAATACGAAACGGATGTGCCGTATAATTGCAACCGTTAATTAACAAATCCGCTGGAGAAGTTGGTTAGGCAGCAGCAGCTGCTTGTTGCAAGTTGCAGCAGCTTGCAGCAAAGGGCGCTTTTAATTTGCTGGTTGTAGATTGCAATTGCAAGGCATGGAATGCATTGCATAATTTGCATTGTTGTGTCGCTCTGTTTGTGTGGTGTGGATGGATGGAGTAAAATGCAGCGGTCCACCTGCAACTAATATTGCAGGCAGAGTGGCAGACATGTATTGCTGCTAGCTCATGCTTACTGGAGTAGCTAGTAAGTTTGGTGTGGTAGATGCAAGCTCGTGCCTGGTTTTAGGAACAATTCGCAGGGATTGATGGTTTTACGTCCAGTAATTGGAGAAGGTTTATCATATCAAAAGGCAAAAAATTCCCATGTTTCCTTGCCTGAACTAGTGGTGACATTATTATACTTGAAGGTTAGCAGGAACACTACAGCGCGGCAGGGGAGTACAATACAGCTTGACACGAGATGTGTACTCCGCGGTACTTCGCCTGCTGCGTCCAATGTCTTCGCCTGCCGTGCTGCCAACGGCAGGACGACGATGACTACAGATCACTACTGAATTGAATGCCACAGCGACAGCCGGGGTTCAGAGCGGCGAAGCTGGTGAGCGTTTAGCATTTTGCTCCGTCGCCAATCACATGCGAGCCAGATCTCATCGCGCGAACAGCTCTTGTGATTAGTCTGGAAACTAGTACGTACTAATGCTCCAAACGTGATTTGGAAATAGGTGTTGCTGCGTTCCTACTTTCTAGGCTGCTTGATTTGCCCGGTGGCACTAATAACAGGCTGGTTTAGCCTGGAAGCCTCATTTGTTTAGCCTCGGACTCTGTTCACGGCACATGGGGAATTTGTTGAGTCTAGCTCCGTCAGGCAGCCCTCGTGCTTGTTTTTAGTTTGGTGAGGCCACGGATGGCGTGTTACATTATTTGCTTTATTTGTGTGTTTATTCCGAAGAGAGAATTATAGTACAGTTTCAGGGATGTCGAAATGGCTATGCTGCGTGACTCTCATGCTTTTTTATTTTTTTTAAAAAAAATCAGTTGATATGTCATATGTTGTCACCATGGCTGGTTTTCCGTTTTTTTAAAAATAAAGGTTCTTTTCTGTTCTTCCTTCAACCTTGAAGTAGTAACTGACCTCCAAGCACTAATTTGATACCGTTCAACTGTTTTTAACCAAAGATTAAAGCAGGGAAAAGAAACGGTAAATTTTACAAGGTCCGTTCCCGGTCGTGCGCGTGCACGATTTATGGCGCTCTCTTTTTATTTATTTATTACGTTTTTTAGGGGAATTTATTTATTTATTACGTGGGAAAAAATGATGAGCTATTGGGCCAGCAAAGAAGCCCAAAAGACGATGGGCTACAATGGAAGGAGAGCTGTAACGCGCTGTGGAAACAAATGTCCAATTTGCAGAAGGGCTACTTGCATAGGCCTCTGAAACTGAAAACATTTCTTATTTCTAGTTGTTTGTCATTGTCAAGACTCAAGATCCTCTCTCTCAAAAAAAGGTCTAAAGAGATTTATAGTCTCCTTAAAAAAATTAACATCTAGCCTTATAAAGAAAAGAAAACTATTGCTAGAATTCTAGCCAAATTTTGTCTGATTTGTGAGAGATATTAACCAAGCATCTTGTGCTTCTGTTATATGACAAACAGATTTTCTTCAGATATGTGATCTGCCCTTTCAGTGAAATGAAATGTTCACCTGTGTGTGTTGTCAAGGCCTTTTGGCAAGAACAAATATTGGGAGTTGGCACAACCTCAGACAGGGCAGGCAAATGGTTTGCAACGCATCAATTGATATGCAGAGCTTCAACTTCTTTTGATCTTTTGGTACACCCGTACAAGAATGCATACTACGTACGTTTATTTTTGTCAATGATTCTAGTAGCTCAGAATGTACAGTCAGGGGCTCAGGGCATCCGCAGCAGAATGTCCTCACGATGGATTGAAGTATCGCACTTCGGACACGTGGCGTGGTCCTTCTGCGGGGCCCCTTGGCAGAAGGAGAACTTGTGCGGACACCTCGGCAGGCAGTTGTCCGCCAAGCTCACCACTGCGCTGCCCTCCTTGAGCTGCCTCAGCTGCCTCGGCAGCGCTCCACAGAGATAGTTGCCTTGCAGCATCAGCCTGACGAACGGCACCCACTGCTCCGTGGCCTCCTCGGCCGCGGCACGGACGGCGTACCGTTCGGGAATGCCGCCGGTGAACCGGTTCCTGTCGAGCGCGACCGCCGCGAGCCGCGGCATTGCGCCAAGGCAGGCTGGCAGCCGCCCGGCGAGCCTGTTGCCGCTCAGGTCCAGCTCGACGATCTGGCTGGAGGATCCGCCGTCGGGAGCCTCCTGGACCGCGTCGAGCTGGTTGGAACCCAGGCGCAGCTGCTGCAGCGCCGGGTGCGCGAACGCGGCGCCCGGGACCGCGCCGGACACCGCGTTGCCCGTGAGGTCCAGCACCCGCACCGCGGGGAGCGCGGCCAGCGCCGCGGCGCTCAGCGGCCCGGAGAAGGAGTTGTTGCGCGCCGCGACGGACCAGAGCGACGGCGGCAGCGTCCCCGGCGCGGCGAGCAACGAGCCCGACAGCGCGTTGCCGCTCACGTCGAGGTGGACCAGCGAGCGCATCGCGCCCAACCTCGGCAGGGGCCCCGCGAGCGCGTTGTGCTGCAGCTCGAGCCGCGTCAGGGCGCCCAGGAGCGCCAGCTGCGGCGGTACCCCACCGGAGAAGCTGTTGCGAGAGAGGTAGAGCTCCTGCAGCGCGGAGGACGCGGCGAACAGGGACGCCGGGATGGCGCCGGAGAAGGCGTTGCCGGAGAGGTCGAGGATGCGGAGGCTCGGCGGCAGCGGGACCCCCGCCGGAAGCGCGCCGTGGAACCGGTTGTCGGCGAGGGACAGCGACGCGAGGAAGGGGAGCGAGGACAGAAGTGCCGCGGGGAGCGCGCCCGAGTAGCCCGCGGAGTCGAGCGCGACGGCCGTCACGCGGAGGTAGGAGGAGTTGGCGGCGCCGGCCGCGTAGCAGCGGAGGCCGCACGGGAACGCCGCGCAGGGGTCGCGGGCGAAGTCCCACGACGCGAGGCAGGAGTAGGGCGGCACCGAGGACGCGGCCACCGCGGACCTCAGCGCCGCGAGCGCCGCCTTGTCGCCCGGGAATGTGGCCGCGGGAGCGGACAGCGCCACGTGCCGGAGCGCGAGCAGGAGAAGGGAGGGCAGCGCTAGCAGGACGCGACGACTAACCGAAGCCATTGTTGCATCGATCGAGGACGGCTTTGGCGCGGCCGGCCTTGATATCGGCGCTAAAGTCGTGGAGGGGCAGTTTCGCTTTGAGCGAGCGAGTGGGGTCACATTCACTCACAGTGGAGTGTGAGCTGCGCCGGCCAGGGCGATGCGTTTTGCCAGCATCTCCTGCGCACCAACCTGTGGGCTGTGGGCTGTGGCGTGTCACTGTTCGCCGGGAAACCCGGGGGGCAAGGAGACAAACGAAACGAGGCCGTTTCTTTTGTGCCATTGTTTAGACGACGACGGTGGTATTCGGTGCGCATGGTGATGGCAGCTTTTTTGGGTGCAATTCCATGAGTCGGTCGTTTCTATGATTAGGGAGGAGGCGGTGGAGTGCCGTTTACTTCAGAATTTCAGATCAGTGGCGGAGACTGGTTTAGAGAAGTACGTACCAGGTAACAGGCTTATAGTCAACCTAACGCTAATGTTGAGGAGGGGGATGAAAGCTTGACTCTAATACAAGCAACAAGTTGTGCACACAAGCATATGCATCAGTGGATCCAAATAGCATGGAGATTTTTTTTAAAGCAAATAGAAGACACATTATATAACTTAGCTCTTGTAACTTGATTATAGCCAAACACTTACCTTTATTATTAACTCTACTCTTATGAGTGTTTGGATCCAGCGATATGGTTTTTGATACAACTTGGGTCTGAAAACAAATAAGTACAATTCTAGTTTTTTATCAGGTCAAATCATATTAGATTTGATCAAAATTTATAATGAACGTATCAACACATATAACACTAGCTAACAGGTAGCCATGCTCTTAACTACTCCCTCTGACATTTCTACTTTTTGATATATTACTTTAACTACGTATTTAGACAAAATGTATATTTAAGTGCGTAGCAAAAAAAACTATGTATTTTAAAAAGTCAAAAGGTTTTATAATTTAAAATGAAGGGAGCAGTATAGGAGGTCATTCAAGCTGATGACAGTCATACATATGGTGAGGTGCATACCTGACAGTGATATAGATAGTAACCATATGAACATTTATTTCATAGTAAAAAAGCTAAAACAAAACTGAATATTACAAAGAAAAGAAAAAGAAAACAAACTTAATTATTCATACGTCTCTAACTTTCACCATCAATCTAATTCAGACAAACTCAAGGCCCATCATAGCCCAAGTCCTGGTGAGAGGTCCCTACGGTGAAATCGCCGCTGCCGTCTTCCGCTCTGCGGACCGGCGTTGTGAGCGCCGCGCCGTCACCATCCCCTCGTCGAGAGCCGCACCGTCGCCATCTCTGCTCTGAATACCGTGCCGTCTCCGTTCTCGCGCCGAGGGTCGTGCCGAGGGCCAAGCCGTCGCTATCCCGGGCACTGCCGGCATGCATCGTTTCTGCCTCGCCCACCTCCTTCATGCCTCCCCCTGTGCACAGCTCGAGCTCATCTAGCTTCAGACATGGCTGCGCCGTGAAGGCTTCGAGCGGCAGAAACCATGCCGGAGCAGTGCTAGGATCTGCCCTATGATGCCTAGAGCAGCAGCAGTAGCACTTGAATTTATTGATTGAGAATGTTGTATAGACTGAACATTCTGCTAAATGCGTGATTGAATGTTGGAATCAATTTAAGAACTAGCAATTGTGATGGAAAATTATCTTCTAATATCTGCGGCTCGAACTCATAAAGAAATGCACGAAAACCGGTGTTTGGAACAAGATTATCAATATAATCGATATGAAGATAATAAAAACAATTGATCTGTTCCAGATGCAGCTCTCGCCGCACAGGCCGTCGTCTCTCCTGCCATCGCCACTTGGTGACCTTGCCGTGCTGTATTTCCTTGCTCGCGTGGATCCTGAGACCGGCAACCGGGCGGCGCAGTGCAGGGACGGCGGCGCTAGGAGCGGTTGCTCCTTGCACCGTCCCTGAGGTTGAGGACGAGGGTCGCAGCTTTCTGGAGCTGGTGGGCCGTGCTGCTGTTGGGCTGTGTGGGGGGTGCAGGTGTTGAAGTCTGGTGCAAGCTGGGCGCTTGGATGGCAGTGGGCGGCAAGGATCGACTGACTGCAGAGAGCAGTCGTTGAGGCTGACTTCAAAGGATCTCGAGGGACTGTACTGGTTAAAGTTGCAGGGCCTAAATTAGTACGTATAGTAACTAGATCGTTCTTTCACATGGTCTGGGCCGACCAGTCCACGAGGCCGTGTTCGTTCGAACCAGTATTTTCTTTCATAACAAATTAGTAAATAGTATTTTTCAGTCTGGTTTTTCAGCGAAACGAACAGTGTTTTTCTCTCACAACAAATCTCTATTATAATGGACCAATCAAAATTACACTAGGTTCAAAAAAAAAAGACACCCGCTAAGAGCCTACAACCATTGTGCACCCACAAAATTACACACAAGAATTGGTCGCCATTAAAATCAAGGACTAATAAAACATCTAACCGAAATCCGATGGCCACGATTAGATGTGGGATGCTAGGCTTCTCACCCCGCCTTCTCACCCCCGCACCCCCGCGCTCTCCTCACACGCCGCGGCCGCGATTCAACGCTCGAAGCCAACCGCGATTCAACGCTCCAAGCCAATCACACGGCCTGCTCACAGAGGATCTCCCGGCCCGCTGCACGCCGGCGAACCCGAAGCTTGCCGAGGCGTGGCGCGCCGCCGTCGATGCCTGCGTTGAGCGTGTCGTGGTTGCACGTTGCGCCTCCGTGGCGGCAGAGCTAGAGGGAACGCGGCGGGCGTTCGAAAGGCGCCCTCGCGCTCGTGATTTCGTCTAGATCCGACCCAGGTGAGCTCCGGTGCAGGCCCAGCTGTGGAATTCCACGCGGTGGGTGATCTTCGCCGATGTGGTTCGGGTGGTTGTGTGAGGTCGATTTCTGCTTGTGGTTTTCTGCGCGGTTTTGTGGGGGTGAGGATTTTGCGGGTTTTGCATTGTATCTGCGATGAGGGAGGAAGGCAGACCGGGTTCACCGGAGCCCTCAGTGTTTTAGCTGAGTCAAGCGTGGCTGCGGCGGCGAGGTGCGTGCGTCGTTTCTGCCGTTATCATGAGGAAAGAGGAAAATGGCGCTTCTCAGGAAGATGATTACTTAGAAATCGAGGTGAGTTCTCATGCACACACTTGAATGCACTGGCAAAATTAGAGTTCATTCGCATTGGTACAGTAGCCAATCAATTTGATTTGCACTTTTGATTTGAATTGCAAACTTGCAACAGCCAATTTAGGCGTGTGGGTATGAGCATACGCCTAATTAAGGAGTTCATCTATGCTCGGGTGAAGGTTTGCAATGGGAAGCTTCTGCAAGTTGTTGCTTCAGTAAAGGGTTTCTACTTGGCAGGGAAGCCACACAACGTTAGCCACTCCCTAGTGGACGTGCTGCAACAAGTCAGCAATGTGTTTGCTAATGTTAGGAACCTTAAATCTTAATCTTCATTATCTTCTGTGCTTACCTCTCACTTTACTTCATGTTTTTATCTGTCCTAGTACAAATTATATGATTGGTACAAGAACAGCTTATGAAACATAAAAAGAAAAGATAGGCAAAAAATGAGGGAAACAACTGAGTTACAACCTGCAGTTTAGGAATTTTGCCATATGGATTCTGGGCAAAAACCTACAGTCTGGTAAATTATATGACCGACTGTTATCATGCATTTTTTATGAAAGGTTTTGTGGGTCACAACAAGGTTATAATAGTGAATATGCTTTGCCATTATTTTTTATTTTATTGTATTGAATATTAAATCGAATGATGTAGTTCGAGAACTCTCGGTGAGAATAACCTTTTCTGCATCTGCAGTTTGGAAATTTTGCCGTATGGATTCCGTGCAAACACATGGCTTATTCCCCTAATATATGTTGACTCCACCACAAAGTGCCTAGCACTACCTGTTGAGGATGAGAATTAGGGTGGAAATGGGGGCGGAGGTGGAGGTGGAGGTGGAGGTGGAGGTAGAGTACATGTCGGAGAAGGCCGATAAGAAGAAGGATGGAGGTCTGTCCAATAAGAAGAAGCTGGAGTGCAGGATAAAGATTGCAGACCTCAAACAGATATGCATCAGACCTGACGTTGTAGAGGTGCACTATCCATTCCAATCAAGTCACCCCGTTGTTAGCAATTTCATTTTTGCTCATAAAGACCCACTACGTATAGATCATCTATCTTCGTCATGGTGAAACATCAATCTGCACTTTCCCATTTCTTGATCTTGAAAATATTTTGCCTCTGCTTTCACAGCATCTGCAGCAGATGGTGACAGTACCCAAATCACCTTGACTTTGAAAAAAGTTAGGGACAAATGCAAACTATCCTGCTGCCCCCATTGTGATTATAGAAATGGTAAGCTATCCTATACTGTCCGTAATCATTTTACCTTAGAAATGTTACTACTAAAACCTAGCTATTGTTTATTCCAATAAATAAATTGATAAGATAGGGTCTTCAAGTCAATGAATTGTTAAGAAAGTTCAAGTTCCACTTCAGATTTTTTTTGTTTGCAGAAAGTTGAAGATCCACTTCAAAAAGGCAATAGAGAGGGCTGGATATAATAGAAGAATAAAATTTGTAATTGTTGGTGCTGCTACTGATTTTTGTGTAGGTACGTAGAAAAGCAGTGCATTTCCTATGCATGGACTATGTAAATGTTCAAAAATTAACTCTCTGAATATGTAGCAGTGACTTCTCAACTTCCTTAAAAAAATCTAGCAGTTCTGAAAATCTTGATAGCAATTCAGGTTCAACACTTCAGTGGTCATTATTTTTTAAACAAGTCATGGTCACAATCTTGCTTTGCTAATGTGTGATTGCGATTTGGTTAAATAAAACTAGATATATACTCAAGTTATGAAGCCCAATTATATACTCTATTGACTGCAGTTTGTTCTTGTTTGGCTATGGGTGCAGGAGATGTGGGCTTTGTAGAGAGGTTGCAAGGTGATGTCAAAAGAAAATGACAAGCTTTAGGTAGCATCTATGGTCGATTTTCCTTTTCAAATGTATGCGTTAGAGGACT